TTGCCTCCTGTGCAGAAAGTGAATATTAACAGCATTTACCTCTGTTCAGAATTTATTAAATTTGATGATTTACATAAAATGTTTAGCAAATATTGGGTACATTGAAAGTGTTTAATAAATGTTAGACAATAATATTGTTCTTTTATTGTTAATTATTATTTTACTATTATTATCTCAAGTTCCAAAGTTCCCCATATCCAAAGAATCCTCTGGGATATACCTTGAATTTACTAAAATATCTTCCATAATTTAAGATATTAAACTAAAACACCGTGATGTAATAATTTTCTGAGCTTTAACATCATTTACTAAACTCCTGAATTTTTGCTATGGTGCAGATGTTTAATATCAGTTTAAAAGTATGTATTCAAAATTGTAGGTATTTAAACATATTTAATATATTTAAAGGAGATATTTGAATACACTATGATACAGCCAACTACAAACTCATTTACATAAAAGATGACAGATTTTTTTTCTGAAATGTGCCAGAACTGGTTCTGCTTGAAAGCAGGGCTGACAGTGAAATGGTACCTGGGATTCTTCCAGCATTAAACACGTAAACATATGCAATTTCTATGCACAAATTAGCAACACTTCTCATTTGAGTGTATTCAAGGTCAAACAGGCATTTTGATTATTTAGAGAGTTTTGAATGATGAATTATACGAATACTTCAGGTCATGCTCTAATTATATCTCTATTATTTCCTGAAGAGCAGGAAGGTTTGTGCAGGGATGTGGAATTATAACAATATTAAAATTAATAATAAGATGATATAAAAACATGTTTATGACACTAAATACATAAGTATGACAAATGGATAATTTTCTACACAATTTACCAAAACTACCAGGAGAAGTAAAAATGTTGAATATTCCTATACCTGTTAAGGACACCGAATCCATAATTGACAAATCACCTCCACCACAAACAAAATAAACCCTTCAATGGCAAGATCGCGTTTCACTGATAAATCTTTCCAAACATTCAAGGAAGAAATAATGCTAATCTTACACAAATTCAAACTTAGTTCATGAGACCAACAAAAGTTTTGATACTAAAACTTAAAAAAGATATTATAAGAAATTATAATTAAATACACACTAACTCTCATACACATAGATGTAAGAACCCTAAATAATAACAAATAGGATCTAACAGTATATAAAAAGGAAGTTTAATTATGACCAAGAGCAGACAATTCCAGGAGTGCAAGTGGATTTACCACTGGAAGATCAATCAGTATAATGCACCATATTTAAAGGATAAAGAAGAGAAGCACATTATTTCTTGTAGATGCTGGAAATATATTTTATTAAATTCATCACCCATATATGATAACTATTCTCAATTAACTTGTAATAGAAACTACCTTAATCAGATGAGGGGTATCTATATCTACATTTACCTATCACACCTATTGCTAAATCTATCTATGTTTTATAAATTACAGATATTACAGTCAATAGCAAAATATTAATGCATGTCTTCTGAGGTTAGAATGAAATATTGTACTCAAAAACCACTGCCAGTAAATAGCACAAGGGGAAAAAATGGCATAAACATTGAAAATAAATGGTAAGACTTGTCTTTATTCACAAATGATTTATTTTTTTAAAATTCTATAAAAAATTATCAGAATTTAGATGTAAATTTTGAAAATTCATCAAACTTAATGTCAACATACAAAATCAATTTTATTGCTATACATCAGTAAAAAATTGAAATTAAATATGAAAATACCATTTATAATAGCATCAAAATTATTCGCCATACATATACCCTGAGAAAACCATAATTCAAAAAGAGTCATGTACCAAAATGTTCATTGCAGCTCTATTTACAATAGCCAGGACATGGAAGCAACTTAAGTGCCCATCATCGCATGAATGGATAAAGAAGATGTGACACATATATACAATGGAATATTACTCAGCCATAAAAAGAAACGAAATTGAGTTATTTGTAGTGAGGTGGATGGACCTAGAGTCTGTCATACAGAGTGAAGTAAGTCAGAAAGAGAAAAACAAATACCATATGCTAACATATATATATGGAATCTAATAATGATAAAAAAAAAAGTCATGAAGAACCTAGGGGTAAGACGGGAATAAAGACACAGACTTACTAGAGAATGGACTTGAGGATATGGGGAGGGGGAAGGGTGAGCTGTGACAAAGTGAGAGAGTGGCATGGACATATATACACTACCAAACGTAAAATAGATAGCTAGTGGGAAGCAGCTGCATAGCACAGGGAGATCACATCGGTGCTTTGTGACCACCTAGAGGGGTGGGATAGGGAGGGTGGGAGGGAGGGAGATGCAAGAGGGAAGAGACATGGGAACATATGTATAACTGATTCACTTTGTTATAAAGCAGAAACTAACACACCATTGTAAAGCAATTATACTCCAATAAAGATGTTAAAATAGAAAAAATTTGCCATAAAGACAAAAATCTCAAAAAATGGAGTCATAGAAGATCTCTAAACTTAAAACTACAAAATATTTCTAAGAAAAATTAACCCTAAAATTGGAAATAGATACCTTGTTAACTGATTAAATAATTGTATGTTGAGATCTATATTGTATATTGTTAATATCCTTAAATTAATACATAGAGTGAATACAATCTAAGAAATATTTCAAGCCCTATTTAAATAGAAGCTGAAATACAATGCTACTACTCTAATCTGAGAAAGCATAGAAAATTAGACAGTATTCTACATATTAAGCATATTAATTATGTAATTATTCTCTCCCCCAAAAGTAAAATATTTTAAGACCTGATGTCATAGTCTAAAATTTAAGGACTGCAAAAGCCTAAAACTTATATATAAAGGCAATAGACTTAGAATAGGTAGTGCAAATTTGAAGAACAAGCACAGTATTGGAGGAATTATAGTACCATATTTCAAGGTTTACTTTAAAGCTTTGGTAATTAGTGCAAGCTTAGGCAAATTGAGAAATGCAAAAAATAAAGAAACACTCAACTATGTTCACTTAATTTATGGCAAAAGAGACAATGCAGTTCATTTAAGGAAAGAATGATCAGTTTAGCAAATTTGGCAGGAGCAAAATTGACAACTACCATACAATATACCAATATTAATTTTATATGTATCATGGACACAAACATGAAAGCTAAAACAGCCAAGATTATAGATTATAGATATAAAATTTAAAGATTATAGATATTATAGAAGTTTACATAGGAGATACCTTTGTGATATTGTACAGTCCAAAATACATTATTCAGGTCACAGAGAGTATTAGACATAAAAATTAATAAATTGGGCTTCATTAAAATTAAGAACTTCAGTTCATCAAAATACAGTCCTCAGAAGTAAATCAGCAAGTCACAGACTGGGAGTAGATATTTCAAATTTATATATGAGAAAAGATTAATATCCAGAATATGTAAAGAACCACCACAAACAAAGAAGGAAACAAAATGCGTAATTTACATATTTTACACACATCTCTGGAAAATACACTTTACTAAAAACAATCTCCAAATGGGCAATAAACTTATAAAATCAGTCTTAATACCATTATTCATTGGATAAATGAAAATGAAAACCGCAACGAAATAGTACTAAACATCCCAGATAAATGTTTGGATAAAAATTTAAAAGTTGACAGTTTTAAGTATTAGCAAGAATGTGAAGCCAGTGGAAGTCTTGTACTTTGAAGGAGGGATTGTAAACTGATTTTAAAAAGCACTTTTGGAAATCTCTTGGGCAGTACCTACTAAAACTAAGCATTTTCCTATTCCATGAGCTGGTAATTTCATTTCTATTTATATGTCAAAAGATAAATTTACACATTGGCTATAAAAGGCATGTAACTGTTCATAGCAGCTTTCCTCCTAATAGTACCAAACTATTAACAACTACTTGCTGTCAAAAGAAAACTAAAATTGGAAACAACCCAAATGTCTGTGAAAAGAATAGATGAATCAACCCTGGTATATGCATACAATGTTATCTTACACAAAATTTTTTTTTTTTTTTTTTGCGGTAGGCGGGCCTCTCACTGTTGTGGCCTCTCCCGTTGCGGAGCACAGGCTCCGGACGTGCAGGCTCAGCGGCCATGGCTCACGGGCCCAGCCGCTCCGCGGCATGTGGGATCTTCCCAGACCGGGGCACAAACCCGTGTCCCCTGCATCGGCAGGCGGACTCTCAACCACTGCGCCACCAGGGAAGCCCCTAGTTATCTATTTTATACATATTAGCGTGTATATGTCAATCCCAATCTCCCAATTCATCCCACCACCACCTCCCCCATCACCTTCCCCCCTGGTGTACATTTGTTTGTTCTCTACATCTGTGTCTCTATTTCTGCCCTGCAAACCGGTTCATCTGTACCATTTTTCTGGGTTCCACATACATGTGTTAATATACAATATTTGTTTTTCTCTTTCTTTCACTCTGTATGACAATCTCTAGATCCATCCACGTCTCTACAAATAACCCAATTTCGTTCCTTTTATGGCTGAGTAATATTCCATTGTATATATGTACCACATCTTCTTTATCTATTCATCTGTCGATGGACATTTAGGTTGCTTCCATGACCTGACAATTGTAAATAGTGCTGTAATGAACATTGGGGTGCATATATCTTTTTGAATTATGGTTTTCTCTGGGTATATGCCCAGTAGTGGGATTGCTGGGTCACATGGTAATTCTATTTTTAGTTTTTTAAGGAACCTCCATACTGTTCTCCATAGTGGTTGTATCAATTTACATTCCCACCAACAGTGCAAGAGGGTTCCCTTTTCTCCATACCCTCTCCAGCATTTGTTGTTTGTGGATTTTCTGATGATGCCACAGGATTTTAACATAACTAAACATATTGCATCTACCTTTTCTTTTTTTATTGCCAAAGTCTGTGGGATTGTCAGGAGGTGTCATATCATTTAGTGCACAAAATACATGGGGGAACTGCTCCCTGGAACCTTCAGGCTCCCAGGGCTGGACTACACTCTCACCTGTTTCTCCGTGCAGCCCTCAGGCTTGCTCCCTTCTCTCACTCCTTGGTAATTACAGTCACTTCGTTTTCCCACATGAATCCAAAAGCTGTTTTCAACAAAAATGGTTCTTTCCCTAAAAAGAAATATTTATACTTGTTACTAAGAGAATAACTTTGCATGGCCTCCATGACTTTATACAGATATATTATCCAAATAATCTGTAAAGAGAAAAGGTATGTCAGATGTGTGTCATCAGAAAGTAACTGAATACCCAAGTCAAAAACAATTAAGCAGAAAGGAAATATGTTGGCTTACATAAGTGGTCATCTGAGGGATGGTGGACTCCCCAAAGTGGGTAATCCTTGGTCCATTTCCCTGTAGTCCCCTTGGCTTTTTTTTTCCATGTAGTAAGGTGACAGTGATAATTCAGATTTAACATCATCATGTTACTCTCAGGAAAGCTGAGAAAACTTTCCTGAAGAAAAGGTGCAGATATCCTTAGGCTTGTCACTCAGCCTCACAGTGTTGGGGGATCATGTCAACTTCTCATGGTGAATATGGGTTAAATAAAGGAGGGTGTGAACACAACAAAATAGATATTCAGGTAGGAAGGAGAAAAGATGGATGCTTACTAGGCAAATTGTAATGCCCATAATATATACATATTTTCACATAAAATATTTTGTGCTTTTTGTTTTGTCGGTTTTTGTCTTTGGCAAATATAGTATTAAACGTGTTCATATAATTAATTTTTAAAAATATGCTTACTTTAGAGCAGTAAATGCTTTAGATGGAATGAAGGGTTGAAATTTCCTGCTAGTTTTACTTATTGCTTTTATTTCTTACCATTAATTTAGTTATCTAGGTTCACTTAAATTATAATAAAGTAAGTGTGAAAAAGTTGTTATTCCACTTAAGCACCAATTAGTCCTTTACTTGATTTACCATAATTATCTCCTCTCTTATAAAGATCCCAATCAATCAATACATAGATATGAGTACCCAGAGGCTATATTTACTCAAAGGCACGCTGTCCATGTATGAGTGGTTTGCCGGATTCACACAGGGCCAATCAGCTTTGCTCTCTCAGAAATTTGCGATTTGAACTGAAATGCTTTGCATCAAGGTACATTAATTGCAATGTCCTAGAGAAACATAGGTGAACTCTTGCTGTTAAGGTCCTTTAAGATTCCAAGTTTGCTGACATTTTCAAGTCTTTCTGGTTCAATGGTTCTTGTTTTCTACCACTGTATGCTTTCAAAAGAATTCCTTTATTCTACAGAGCCAAAGCCAATGTTTCTCACTTGAAATGAAAAGCAACTTAATTCTAACAACGAGGAAAAGTAGGACTTTATAGGGGAAGAAATGGCAGGAAAATAAAACCATCAACATTAAATTTCCTTCCTTATTCATTTCCTGTATGGATTTGGTTATCTATATGTGGCCATCAAATGATCACTTCAGAATGAATGGAAATGTTGAATGACTAGAATCTTTAAAAGTACAGGTACTAAAAAAGTGTAAATTTATAACTTTATTAACTATATTCCTTGATCATGGAGTGCTTCTTTGATATTGGACAACAAAACGACCATGTGTAGAAGAGTTTTAAAAAGGGAAAGCGTGTTAATTTTACTTGAGCTGCATCATTTCTTACTCGACCTCTGATTTTTGAAAATTGCTTCATGATAGTTTCCTTCAACTGTTTGATTTTTATATGAACAAGAAATTGGGTGCATGGAAACAAATATTTATATACTAAAAGTTATGATGTAACTTTTAAGACAATGTACTTTTCTGTCCTATCTTTGATACTTATGTGGTGACATCTAAGTCAGATCTATTCCAGTGAAAATGTATCCTACCAATAAGGATCATTAGATGAAAGATTCCGCCACTGAAATACTGACAGTCTCAAGAAAAGTATTTGAAGTATGTGAATCTTTTTTACAGACTTTATTTTTTAGAAAAGTTTTAGGTTCACAAAAAATGTTGGTAGGTACAGAGATTTCCCATTCAGTCCATGCTTGTACACATGCATAGACTCCCCATTATCAGCATCCCACACCACAGCAGCACATTTGTTAAAATTTATATGACACATCGTTATCACCCAAAGTCCATAGTTTACATTAGGTTTTGCTCCTGGTGTGGTACATTCTTTGAGTTTGGATAAATGTGTAATCCTCTGTGTTCTGCCTATTTACTCCCCTACCACTAATCTCTGGCAACCACTAATATCTTTATTATCTCCATAGTTTTGCCTTTTCCAGAATGTTATATAGTTGGAATCACACAGTAGGTAGCCTTCACATATAATAATATTTTACTTAATAATATCAATTTGAGTTTTCTCCATGTCTTTTCATGGCTTGATAGGTCATTTGTTCTTAGTGCTGAATATTATTCCACTGCTAGGATGTATCCCAATGTATTTATGCATTCACCTACTGAAGGTTGTCTTGGTTGCTTCATGTGTTGGCAATTATGAGTAAGACTGCTGCTATAAACATGCATATGTAGGTTTTTGTGTGAATTTAAATGTTCAGCTTAGCTCGTTTGGGTAAATATCAAGGAGTATGATCACTGGATTTTATGTTAAGGGTATTTTTAGTTTGGTAAGAAATCCAAAACTCTCTTCCACAGTGTCTGTACCATTTTGGATTTCTACCAGCAATGAATGAAATTTCTGTTTCTCCCCATCCTCATTAGCATTTAGTGTTGTCAATATTCTGCATTTTGGTCATTCTAATAGGTATAATGGTATGTCATTGTGGTCCTAATTTTTATTTTCCTGACAAAGTATTAGGTGAAGCAAATTTTCATCTGATTATTTGCCATCTGTCTTTATTATTTTGTCATCTTCTTTGTTGAAATATCTGTTAAGATCTCTGACCCATTTTTAAATCACGTTTTTTTTCTTATTGCTGAGTTTTAAGTGTTTGTTGTATATTTTGCATAACTCTCCTTTATCAGATATATCTTTGCAAATACTTTCATCCAGTCTGTGGCTTGTCTTTTCCTTCTCTTGACAATGCCTTTTTTTTTTTTTTTGACAATGCCTTTTGTAGAGCAAAAACTTTTACCTTTAATGCATTCAACCTTGTCAATTCTTTCTTTCATGGATTGTGTCTTTGGTGTTGTACCTAAGGAGTTATCATCATATCCAATGTCATCTAAGTGTTCTCCCACATTATCTTCTAGGAGTTTTACAGTTTTTTGTTTTACATTTAGGTCTGTGATCAATTTTGAGTTAATTTTTATGAAGGGTGTAAAGCCTGGGTCCAGATTTTTTTTTTTTTCATGTGGATGTCCAGTTGCTCCAGCACCATTTGTTGAAAAAACTATCTTTGTTCCATTGTATTGCCTTTGCTCTTTTATTAAAGATCAGTGGACTATACTTATGTGGGTCTATTTTTGTAATATCTGTTCTGTTCCATTGATCTACTTGTCTATTTTTTCACCAACTCCATACCCTTTTTTACTTATAGTAAGTCTTGAAGTTAGGTAGTGTCTATCTTCCAACATTGTTCTTCTCCTTCAATATCATGTTGGCTATTCTGGGTCTTTTGCCTCTCCATATACATTCTTTAAAATTAGCTTGTCGATACCCATAAAATAACTTGCTGGGATTTTGACTGGGATTGCATCAAGTTGGGAAGAACTGACATCCAGACAATATTGAGGCGTCCTGTCCAGGGACATGGAATGGCTCTCCATTCATTTAGTTCTTCTCTGATTTTGTTCATCAGAGTTTTGCAGTTTTCCTCATATAGATCTTGTACATATTTTTTTAGATTTATATGTAAGTACTTCATTTGGGGGAGTGCTAATGTAAATGGTATTGTGTTTGTAATTTCAAATTTCACTTTTTCATTGCTGGTATACAGGAAAGTGATTGATTTTTGTATATTTATCTTATATCCTTCAACTTTGCTATAATCACTTTTTAGTTCCAGGAGTCTTATTTTCCCGATTCTTTGAGATTTTCTATGTGGATAATCATGTTGTCTGTGAACACAGTTTTATTTCTTCTTCCAAATCTGCCTAATTTTTGCTTCTTTTTCTTATTTGCTAGAACATCTAGGACAATGTTGGAAAGAAGTGGTGAGAGCGGACATTCTTGTTTTGTAACCGATCTTAGTGGGAAAACTTCAAGTTTCTAATGATTAAATATGACGTTAGCTGTAGGATTTTTGTAAATATTCTTCATTAAGTTAGAAAGTTTCCAGTCTATTCATACTTTACTGTTTTCATCATAACTGGGTGTTGGCTTTTGTCAAATGGCTTTTTCTTGATCTATTGATATGATTGTGTGATTTTCCTTTTTTAGCTTGTTGATGTGATAGATTACAATACTGATTTTTGAATGTTGAGCCAGACTTGCATAATTTGGAGAAATCTCACTTTGTTGTGGTACATAAGTATGTTTTACATTGTTGAATTTGAACATAAATGGTCTAAATTCACCAATTAGATTATTGATATAGTTGCATTAATATCTACTATATTTATTACTTTTTTCTAGTTGTTGCCTTATATCAATCTTTTTATAGGTATTTCCATTTTTCAACATGTATAAATTTTGCAGGCTGTAATGTATAATAAATTAACTAAACAGAGAAAATTATCTGCCTGATCATGCATTGTATAGATTTTTTTCATAAATATGATTTATTCTAAATAGAATTGTTATTAATAGCAAACAAACTTTTTTATTGTAGCTTAAGCCCATTTCCTCTTAGTTTATTCTCAGTTTGGTGATGTGTTTATGGTTAATAAAAACAGATTACTTCTATCACTTCTTTTTGTATCAGTTCTGTCACTTTGTTAGAAATGAAGAATAAGTAAATAATCACATAGTCAATTCACTGTTTAAGTTGTGTCTTTGTATGTATCCATTTGTGCATATTCTAGAATAGTAATTAGGAGATAATATGGTACCTTATAAGCCTTTTTGGAGAGTGTATGTGTATATATATGTCTGGATCTAGATCTAGATGTCCATATTAATATACATATAGGCATGCGAATATGTATATATCTATCAATATACTACAGAGTATATCATGTGATAATATGCTATGAAATTCATAAATGCTTGAGGTATTTAGAAAGTGTCTCATGATTAAA